CATTCATGTGATACTTATGAGATCAAAGCTTCAATAAGACACATAGAAAGGTAGGGGCTTATAGTGGCGCCTCCCAACCGTTTACCTCATGGGTAATGTCAACAATAATAATTTATGATCACCTACATCCGTGTGGGTATAAATGTCTGGATCATCCCCAACATATAGTGCTTGCCAAAAAGAGAAAATATAAATGGAAGGGTGAAGATCACCTTGACTCTTGTATAAATATAGAAAGTATAATAAAAGATAGGCCCTTCGCAGAGGGAAGCAAAGGTTATCATGCGCTTTTATGATTGGATGCATGAAGTCTTAATGCAATAGAACGTCACTTTATATTGCCGCTTGTGATAGATAACTTTATTATGCAATCCGTCGCTTTTATTTCTTCCTCATCATAAGTTCGTATAAAGTTTATTTCCCTCACACTAAAAGATCATACATATTTAGAGAGCAATTTTATTGCTTGCACCGATGACAACTTACTTGAAGGATCTTACTCAATCCATAGGTAGATATAATGGACTCTCATGGCAAAACTGGGTTGATAGTTTCTGGATGCACAAGTAGTATCTCTACTTGGTGCAAAAGATTTGGCTAGCAAGGGATAGAAAGCAAGCCCAACATGTTGGAGGATCCATGACAATATAACTTCTATTCGGATATAAAGGAACATAGCACATCATGTTGTCTTCCAGGTCCAATAACTTATTAGCATATAATATTTTAATGAGTGCTCATAATCATAAAAGATGTCCAACATAGTGTATGGGGCGCCGTCGTCCATGGCCCAAATGCGCTGCCCTGAGAAAACCCTCGAATGGGGGTAAAAATACCCCCTCCGCTCACTTGGGTCCCGAGCAGCAGTGCACCCAATGTCCACTCTGGTGGCGCCACCGAACCCAGGACCATCAAGTCCGGATACGACGGCGGTGCAGGAGCGGCCGACACCTCATTCGCCTGACATGGGGGCGTGGTGCAGAATGGCAAGGGCGCGCGGATGGCCGCCATCAGGTCAATGCATGAGTTCGCGAGGCCGGGCACCCACTGGTCTTGGATGATGTTCCTGCCGGGATGATGGGGGTCAGGGGGCGGTGCAGCGGCGGGCGAGCAATCGAAGGAGAGGAGAGCAGGGGGCAGTGAGAAGAGTGAGAGGCAGTGATGTGAACGAAGGAGCGGGTGGTGACACGAGAGAGGGAGAGTTATGAGACGTCATGTCTGTCTCCCGCGCTCCCCGAGGCATGCACCGAATTGGCACGCGTGGCCGCGCCGAGCCTTGCTCTGGAAAAACTCCTGATTCGGCCGTTCTTGCAAGGCCTAGCTCGAGGGTGATTTAAGTTTCGCGCGGCCAGAGAAGCAGATGCAGCCCAGACAACCAAACTGGCCATTTTCTTTCCACGTGAGCCTAATTAGGCCTAATGCAGGCTACCAAACACTTCCATGAAGAGCAGGCCGGTCGGCGGGGATCGGATTTGCATAGTTGTAGTTACTCTAAGTCTTATATTATGCTCTGAGTCATTTATTATGTCTAAGTTCATTCCAAGATTTGCAACTTTTGCTTACTGAAAAGTGCATTTTGCACTTTTTTTTCAAGCACATGCACTTTTGAAAAAGCGCATAGTGAAGTTTGACGTTCTAAAAATATGTAAATTTGACTTTTCACTCAAAAAAGAAGTGCATCTTTTTCTTTCAGAATCTGACATATAAATAAGAAAGTTTCGGACGACTTACGTTAGCACAAATGCAAATCCATTTTACCACACTAGTAGAAAAAGGGCCATTTGTCCCGGTTCATAAGGGCACGAACCCCATTGGTACCCGTTCGTGGCACGAACCGGTACTAATGGGCATCGCACCCTTTAGTCCTGGTTCGTGGCACCAACCGGGACTAAAGGTCCCATTTGAACCGGGAGTAATGCATGTACGGTGCCCTAGCCTCTCGAACCGGGACTAATGCTCATATTAGTCCCGGTTCGTAATGCAACCGGTACTAATGCTCTTTTCTGGCCGAACCAAAGCCCCTTTTTCTACTAGTGCTTGCCAATGGAGCCGTCGCTCCAGATCCGGGGTTCCCCACGCAGATGCAGGGCAACCGAGGCCCCGCTGCCACCATCCTTGACGCCCCGGGCTTGCCCGGCGGCTGCCTCAGGCAGCGGCGAGGAAGGGAACATGGGGAGGGGGTGAGGAGGAGGGGCGGCTAGGGTTGGGAGGAGGAGTCGCTGGGGTTATGATGGCTAGTTGGCTACCATGGAATAGGAAACTATGGCCAAGCACAAGCAAAGGAATGGTTATAGGTTGAAGGTTACTTACTCGTAAGAATGATTGCTCTATCTTGCTTTGCTTGCTTCACAGCAGTCCAGAGACTCTTCCTCGAACCAAAGTCTTGTTTTCTACTAGTGCCACTGTTTGTTTACTGTAGTTACAGGGCCTATGCCATTGGTATTCTTTGGTATTCATGGGAATACCAAAGGTTTGATGATCCATGGGAAACGTTACACATCACCCGGCGGACAATCACGTTTGCGTCCGCCCCCTCGGTTGCTTGCCACGCGTCCCCAGTGGACCGCACCAGCACATTCTTTGCAACAGACATGGCTCGTACCTTATCCTCATCTCCTTAATCTCCTTCCTGAATCAGTGGTGCCAAGCGAGATGGTCGTCTACACTCTGCACCATGAGCGTGCCCTTGCTCGCCACCGCCACGTGTTGGCAGCCATCCTCACCGGCTAGGCAGGCCTTTGCCGTCGTCACCGGTCGCCGCGGCGGTGCGCTGTTGCAGCTAGGCCTCGCACCATCGTCGCCGTTGTCACCCCGCTTCCACCATGACGGTCGGCCGCGTGCGGTGCGCCACCTTGCCGGTGAGGTGAGCTTGTCGGCGCTCCTCTCTCACCACCATTCGACGGAAGCAACATGGTAGTTGTTTCTGCAACGCAACCGTTGTTTTAGGAATTGTTTCTGCAACGCGGTCGTTGTTTTAGGAATTGTTCCTCCAATCTTCAAATTTTTGCAACATGGTAGTTGTTTCTGCAACGTAGCCATTGTTTCAGGAATTGCTTCTCCAACGTGGCCGTTGTTTCAGGAATTGTTTCTGCAACACAGTCATTGTTTCAGGATTGTTTCTGCAATGCGGCCGTTGTTTCTGCAACTGGTTTGTTGTTTCAGGAATTAGTGTGTCGGGAAGGCGACGAGCCGCGTGCGAGGTGTTAGATCGGACGGCTCGCGCGTGAAGATCCGACGGTTGTCAAGATGGTGGATGTTTACTAGACGTCTACGTAGGGCTCTCCTGTGTATATTGCTATTCCTCCGCATGCATAACCCAAAACTTCCACTTGTCTTTTCTGTTTCTGTTAAGCAATACTTCCATTTGCTTTCACAGCCAATGTTCTGGGCTGGACGGATCCGGCCTCCGGGGCTCGAGATCTCA